TATATATATATATAATGTGTGGATGAAAGATAGTACTTTAATAGGTTTCATATGTTCAACTGACTAAGTTACTGCTCTACTCTTAATGAGTACATTGAATGCCATCATAGAGAGTGATTATCATTTTCATTCTTTTTTTGGTAAAATGGAATAAAAATTATCTAAGGTAAAATATAATAGATTCTATTCATTAGCTAGATTCTCTAAATAAATAACAAATTAAGTAAAATAAGATGATCTATGAAATTTCTCCATAGATCATGGTGAAACAACATTCAATTTTGATGGTCTGGAGGGTCCATAAAACAACCAAAAGTTGTCCCATGGATCATAAAAACACAATGCATCTCATTATTGCTATTGATATTGTAATAATAATCTTTTCTTTTCTTTGATCTTCACAAATTGAATACAAGTTTACTTTATGCCATCCGTTTTGGGTCTTTGATCTCAGTAGTAATTTCACATTTGTTAAACCTTAGCAAAACAAACCATCCAAGATACATGATGATCAAGAACAAACAACGAGCAGTTTTAGAAATTGTATACCTACATTTAACCATTTTAAATTTTTTTGTGCATTGAATTAACAAGTCAAAGCATTTTATAGGCCCAAAAATTCAGTTTGCCTAAGCCTAATTGGGTTATTGAATTTGTTATATTATTCTTTTTAGCTTTGAAAAGAGTTAGAATTATCTAGAAAATAATGTGTACCTATGATCAATAAATTAATTTTATTTATGGTCTAGCGAAGAGAAGCAAGCAAACTTTATTTTGGCAACATGCTAATAAACTAAGTTTAATTAAGAAAATGTTATTAACAGAATGATTAATTTGTTTATTGTTACTTGTTAAAATGAAATTTCTTTTGAAAAGAATGTACTATGAATTGAGAAGCCATTTTCTTTATAATATAGAGCAATGAAATTTAAAAAAGGATTTTTTTATAATGAGTTAAACTTAACATATGTGCTAATAGGCTATCTTAGATCATAAGTTCACGACGCAATCCACTGTCTTCATCACTTATTAGTATGGTAGATGGCCACTGCTATCTTTGTTTTTATTGGTCATGATCATTACCATTATTTATCAAAGAATTTCATCATTGTCAATAGCCACAAGTGTCAATCAAGATTGCTACCCTTTTATTATTTACTATAGTCAATTAATTGTAACTTTGAATAAACTTAATCTTGAGTTAATTATTATGTTCCTTATCTAATTATTTTCCTCCTATTAAGAAGTTTTTTTTATTTCCATTAAGTTATTTCAAAAAGGCTAGAAAATTCTTAGCTTTATGAAGATGAATGGAGCAAAAGCTTCGTGGTAGTAATGGGTGGAGATTTTGTAGGAAATTTAGGGTTAACCTCTAACTCTCTTTGATCCGTGAGTCTAGCATACCATCTATTTTTTCAAGGAAAAACTAATAATAAATTCAACCTTGGTTTGGGTTGAGAGCCAATACATTAGCATGCAATTTTTGAATCCATGCCTAATGTATTAAATCATTATGGAGCCTTTCATTTTGATGGGTCAAAGTGGCTATAATTGATGCAAGCCAATTTAATCTTAATGAATGGAGTATAAATATGAAGGTTTTTTTGGTTTCATTTTCATAGCTCAGAGAATGACCAATATTGTGTAATTCTGATAATCGACCACGAAAATTGATGAAATGGGAGGCTCTGATAAGTCGTAAAGGGATTAGATATCGAAAATAATTGTGGTGAAAGTGTCTTCATCATTAACTTGTATATGTTAAGGACCTAACAAGTAAAAAGTTTAAGACACTTTTAAGAAATTAAAGCTAAAAGCAAAAATAGTATAGTTTTTTATTTTTAAATTTATTGCACATATTTTTTATATAATATTAAATATTTTTTATTTTTTAGTCGGCATAAAGTAAATTGTGCTCTTATAAAAAAAGGAAATACTATAAAACAACAAAAAAAGTTACTAGATACAAAATAAATACAAATATTTGAGTTAAATTAAATAAAATCTAGAAAATAATATAATGTATACTTAATTTTTTTTCTCATGTTCAAAGAAGCTTATCTTTTACGAATATTAAAGCGATCGGACGGCTAATATAATGCTGTTACCCTCTCTATCTTATATAGGCTTCCTGAACTCGCTCTTCGCCGTTCTCTCTTTAAGCCATAGCTTTATCCTCTCCGGACGAGCTCGCTCCTTTGCTTCCCACTTCTTCCTCCGGTGAAAGCTTTGGCCGCCTATCTCTCTCTTGGTTCAGGGAAACCTAACCATATCTTCATCTCGCTTTCTCGCTCATCTCCAAAGTTCAATCAGGCCTCTTCTGTTACGAGGTAATTGGCTTTGATTTCATGTCTGCTCGTTGCAGGGTTGTCAGGCAGATGGTATTATTCTTGGGAGGGAATATATTCTAGCTGCACTTTTTGATTTTGATGTTTAAATAGTGTTGTTTTGGAGCTGATGCTGCTTAGAATCGCGACAATGAGAAATTTTCTTTTTGAATTGGAACTAATTAAAGTTTTATGTTGATAAAATGAATGAGATATACAGTGTTTTTGGAATCCTATGATTGTTTTTTCATGTAGTTTTTGGCAGCATTTTAATGTTTAGGAATTTATTTGGTTGATGTTTGACTTAGTAAGCCGTTTTGGCCTTTCTGTAGATTGGTAAGGAACTATGATTCTCGAAGAGGAACAGGGGGTATAATGTTTCACTTGCCTCTATCCTGAAATAGTTAAGGTAACTTTGTTCTTGATTCTCATATGGAATAACCGCAATGCCCGTCCACATGATTAGATTACAATTCACAATTAGGTCATCTGAGTTTGTTTGAGTGAGAAGTGAAACCACTTTCATCTAGTGCTTTGTGGAAGACATTGGCAGGCCGAAATATGGTTATGAAGTGTGCTATGTCAATGTTGTGGAGCTTTAGTGCCATAAAGTTGGGTTATTTTTCCTTGCGCGCCATCCATCGGTGGAAAATAAGATTTGAAGTTGTGGGCGCTAGAAGTGCTTATGAGCTTGAGGGGGTGAAATTTTCTTCTAAACTTATTTGGACTCTAGGGATTGGTTCCTGAACAACAAGGAGTTTGAAAGGAAGATTATTTTATGATAAATATCCCATGTAATGGCTTAATTTAATGGTTTTTGTATGAATAAAGTAATTGGCTACATTCTTAAATTCACTTTGTCTTTTCAACTTCAAGTGAGGAATACTTGAGAGTGCGTTTGCTCCCTTGAAGGACTTTAAGTAACCAATGAACATTCATGGGAAAATGCTACTCGTGGATGTTATCTTTGATATCATTGTTACACATGTCGATTGGTTAGGTCTGCACCTTGTTCTACTTTAGTTTCTTTATCTTTTTTTGTTAACTTTGTTTGTTATTATTCTCTTAGATTGTCACCCTCAAATTTAAAAAATACAAAATATGTAATTTTCATTAAGTTTACATTGGTTTACAAATATTCTGCTAGTAGCTAGTCCTAATGATTAATTAGTTTCATTGAAAGTAATGGAGAGGTTTTTTATTATAAAATTTCATTAGATAGATTTCATTTATTTTTAAATTATATTTGTTATCTGAGCATGCTGATCCTTTCTTTTGTTTTTGCAAAAATTGTTTAATTTATTATTTGTTTTCTACATTTGCATTTCTCACATTTGGAACTTGTAAAGATTTCTTGTTTTCCTTAACCTTTGATTAATGTTTACTATTAAAATCATATTATTTCCTAGTGATTACTATTTGAGTTGGTTCTTTATTTTTTCTGTTTTGGTTAATATTTTATTGCATTTACTTTCCATTTTGAAGGTATAATCCTCCAGACAGCTTGTTGAAATTATAAGCCTTGCTTATAATTTTGATTATAGAAAACTCTTTGCTTGTGTTGACCCAACTGCTGACACCTAAGCTTTCTAAGCCTAAATTCATAGGACTATTACGGAGTTGTTGTTAGTGTTGTGAGACTTTAGGTCTACTTCAGCTAGACCTCAACCCTTTGCTAGGTTCCTTTCTAATAACATGTAGTGGTCATCCATATCAAGATCGCTTTATGGATCACATGCTTGATGACATCTTCATTTACTTAATAGAATATTAAGAGGACCCAACCTTCTGTCCCAAGCTATACAACCATATAGCCATTTCTTAGAACATATACTAAACCAAACCAAATAAGAGGACTTGACCTTCTAGCGAAAGCTACGCCCATTAAGGATGATGGTGAAATTCATCCTTCAATATGGAGCCCTCCACCTCAAAGTCGTCTCAAGGACCGAGAAAATCATGCTGAACATTTGGGTGATTATTATGCTTTCTGCATTTTGGATAATGCTTGTATCAACCACTTTGTCAGGAAAAATTACCTTTAGGTTTATATAGTAGCTTTACATCACAGCTCAAACCATGTGCACAACATCATTAACACCATGAAGAAATTACTTATGGTTTCGAGCATCATTACACCGCCCTACAAATTATTGTTCGGGATTCTAGCAACATCACCCATAAAGTCAAGATGGAGCCTCCTACTTTAAATGGTCGATTATATATGAAAGTTTGGATTGGTTTATGGATATGAATATATTTTTTGACTGGATAACAATATTTTACTGTCAATAGATCAGATTTTCTTGCATGAAATTAATTAGGTTTGATAAGGTCTATTGGGTTAACATGGCGTGACAATTCCATCACTTGGGTCATCTACCCATTGGATCATGGAATGAGATGAAAGGAATATGAAACAGTAATACCTTCCTTCAACTTTCCATGATCTACTCCTTGAAGAATTAATTGCTTTGTGATCGATTACATGACTCAATTTGATGAGCTCATAATTTGATACACTATAGTCAAGGATTCTGGAACCATTATCTCAAAGTTCTGCTTTACATTTTGTAAAGATACCTATTATGAGTTTCTTAATTGAAGGATTTACACTTTGAAGACGTTTTTTATGTTGTCATATAGATCAAGTGGTATTCGAAGATTGAATCTCACCAGAAATTATTTGCTTTATTTAGACACGAAAAGTTACGGTGGAGCAAATCGGTTGTTTCACACAAGTATACGTGTTAAGTAATAATACAAATTCAGAATGCTTCATATCAATTCCACAAGGAAAGGGCTAAGAAATATTTTAGAGGGCGAATCTCTAGTTTACTAAACTTTTAAACTTAGTTCAACGTGTTCATAAGCTAAAGATTGAGTTCCTACAATCCTACAAACATAAATCAAAAACACAAGTTGGAAAACAAAAAAAATAATAATAAGCTGAGAAATCTTACGATTCTTCAGGTTGAGACTCGCGTCCTTGTGATTAAGATGTCATGGTGGTTCTTTGTTTTCCTAGATGCTCCTCTACGTGATAGTTGTCAACAGAGATAAAATGTTATTCTTAAGTCTATGGTCTGGTTAGAAGAAGAATCAGAAACTCATGAAGTTATATTTCTCTTAGCCCCAACGTCTCACAGAATACTTCCGATCCCCTATCTAGGTTGTAAAATCCTGATAGAATTAGCCTATTCTTACCACTGATTTTGTGGTTAACTCATTTGTTCCTCTATGTGCCAGATAGAAGTCGTAGATCACGAAGGATGTTAACATCCTGACTAACCAGATCAGGAGTAAATGAAACCCAAAGTTTAACACAACTTTTCGCATTAAAGCTCAGGAAATCGTCACGGGGAAAACAACCTGAGAAAACCATTAAAAATCACGATCCTTACATCACTGAGACGCGAAAGAAAGCTTGGCTACTCTTAATAGAAAGAGCAACGTAAAACAAATCCATGGAAATCATTGTTGCAACTCCAAACATGAAAGTAATAACTTACAAAATAATTTGTTTTCTCCACCAAAACAAGTGCTCCCTCTCTCATACAATCCTCTCTCTAAATTCGTAAGAAAAACAGAAAAGGAAGAAAGAAAAGCCCTCACTACTTCAACCCAAATGAAGGAAGAAAGCCGTGAGGGAGAAGATCTCTCTCTCTCCCCAACCTTCGAGCTCTGCTTCTAGCCATCTCTAATGATCCAAGATCCTTTCTAAGTTACCCTAAATCAGATTTTATAGTCTCGAATTTATTAGGAAATTTCTTCTCAAAAATATTTCCCACTTTGTCTGCGTGGTCACCCTAGTTTTGTCGATCGGGCGGCATGGTCATGCCCGATCCTGGCGTGATCATGCCAACCAATTGATAGGGTGGCGTGGTCACACCCGATTCAGGTATGGTCATGCCGCTACCTTCGATATCATGGCGTGGTCATGCCTGTTTTGGTAGTTCAAACCTTGGTTTTTCTCGCTCTGAAATGCATGCTTGTTCTCTTGTAACCTGCACATTATCAATAAAAACTTTCTAAAAGCGTAAATTCATGATAATTAAAGCAAAATAGCGGGAAAAAAATAGGGCTAGATGGAGTAAAAGTTGTGTAATATTGACTCATGTCAAGTAGATAGCAACCTAAGCAAACTTTAATATTTTTTATGTGATCTACCACTGGTTGTTGGAACTCATTTTTTAGAACTTCAATTATAATTTGCTTTTTCATTTGGCAAATTAAACTACTCTTCTTCGAGTCCTCTTCACACGAATCTTCTTGTCGTTTCTCTTGATTGTTATCATTTTGTTGATCAAGAGGAAGAAAACATAGGGTGAACCTTGCGAGGATGTTAATTACATCAAGGAGGCATTGGAATGATTTTGCCTAGCTACATGCATTGTGTTATGGCCACCCTTAGGATGGATATGGATGTAGACACCACCATTATTCATGTATATTTAGGCCTCGTTTGGGGCAGCTTATTTGGTGCGACACGTTTTGAAAACACACCCATGGCCGTTTGGGTAAATTACGTTTTGTCAGCTTATTCAAAAAGCTGCGTTGTCAAACCGCTGAAATCAGCATTTTCACTCTGTTTCTGGCTATGTGAGATGACAACTTTCTAGTTGCCGTCTAGTGTTTCCGAAAAAAAAAAATTGTAATAGTCATCGTAGTTTTTTGAACAACAAATTATTTTTCAGCGGCTTATTAATAAGCTGCAACTGCCCCAAATAGACCCTTAATTGTGACAAGTTTGCAAACTGATCATTGGCTATAACAATTGCATAATTTTTTATGGATACCCTTACATTCAATAGGATGAATTTAATCCGGAGTTTCACCCATCACCCTTACAAAGTAATGGGTGGATAAGATGGTTTCCATCTTTTATTATTATCTTGCCTTGATTCAGATGATTGCTTCTATTGATTGTGTATGGTGTGATGTATTTTTTATTTCTCACAAATGTTAATTATGCTATATTAGGTAGGTCATGATTATACATAAACACCACACACTTTGGATGATCCATTAATTTGGATGCCATATGCTTTGAAGGAAACAAAATTTTCCCAATTTTATTGAGCTTTAGTGTGTTATCGTCGTCGTCACCACCATAGTAATTATAATTTTATTTCAAGGGTCTTTATGCTTTTTAATGATATTTATGTGGTAAGACTTTATTAATAATGTGAAATTTTTATGTCTCAAAACCATAACTCTCCCTCTCGTCGTTATAGTCGTCGATCCACTCCTTTCCCTCGCATTCTCCTTGAAAAATACAATAAATCAAGAGAACTTTAAGCACCTATTTGGAATCTATATGCTCTTTAACAATCATAATCTATATTTATTCTATTTTCCTCTTCCAACCTTGGCCAATCACCCCAAATCACACACTTCAAGTTTCTT